ATTTAGTAATAATGGCAGGTTGCGAATAATAACTTCATAAGGAAGAACAGGGGAAGTAAAATTTAAAAAAAGCTTACAGGATGTGAAGTGCTTAAGTGCGCTATATGATACAGAAATACACCATGTTATCTACGACAATATTTTTGTTGCATATGAGTTCGTTTCACCTAACAAAACGTAAGCTTAATAACAAGAGAACTTCTAGGAGTGGCCATTCCTGGCTGTTGGCTACCATTGTATTTAAAACTACATGCTTTCGTTCGAAAAGCACAAAGCAGTTATAAAACTACTGTACAAATTACACTTTTTCTACGACACGGACCTCTGCATCACTCTGGTCTGTAAGTGTATCATTTTTTAGTATTTGATGCAATTAACCAAGCAAGGCTTAACGGCTTTTAGCACCGTATAACCGCTTAGCAGCTATCAGGGAATAATGACGTTTTGATTTGTCTGAGGCCTTCTTCAAGGTTTCTGTTGGAAATTGTTCCTTTCCTTGACACAGCAGTAACTTCTACTTTTAAAGACACAATTTAAAGATAAAACTTTACCACACGTTCCTTACCTTACATCTGTCATTAAACCGTTTTAACAGTATTATATCGAAGATCAATGTAAGAACTTAATCTTCTATCTACACATAAATAATGACCAAGATTATCACTAGAAAACAAGATCAAATCAGCTGCTTATTAAACTACGGCCGCAAAACGTGAAAGCAATCATCATTGTCTTAACTGTTCACATCTGCCAAAAGTAGTACAAAAATGGTTACGAAACTAAGTTTTAGCCAGGTGTGAAGGTTATTATCAGCCAAAACGACTTTACATGTCATAATATTACTGTAGCGCACTGAATGTCGCAAGTTAAACATCATGATTCTCGCGTGGTCTCTTTCTTTTCTCTCCCATTTCTCTCGTCGTTCATAACTTATCAACGAATTCATCAGGGCAGCCACCTGTTACTTTCACTCGAGGCACCCTTCATATCACTGACTTCCCAAAAGAAGGCTTTTATAAGTTCTTGGCATTGAAATACTAGTCTTAATTCTTAAACAATCAGTTCCTAAAGCGTGGGCCTATTGAAAAACTTTGTCGGTGTAGGCATGACTGAAAATACCAACACGATAACTTGCGATAGTCTGATGGTCTGGAGTCTTGAGTTTACAGCAAAGAAAGATTCAGGCTTCAATGAGAACCATTTCAACCAAAAGTTTACGTAATTCCTTAACAGGGGACGATTCAAACTGTGCCGATGCATCGCAGGTACTCAAATCTCACTGCAGATGTTGTTTAAATGATCTTAAGTTTCTAGAAACATGAGTATGGAGTAACAGAGTCATACACAAGGCAACATTATTCACATAAATAATCGTAGATTTAAACCAAACAAAAAATCACTGAAAACGTTATTTTCTGCGTTTTTTTCACTCTCTGAACCTTCTGATACCACGCACCATGTTTCCCCTGGATGATGACTTATCAGAAACGCAAATGCGCCGGTTCAGAAGCTTACAATCCCTCACTAGTCAACAATGTCCGGCACTACCGATCCAGAGAGGGTTTATCCTCACTAAGGTGATGATTATACGCCATCAAACGATGCTGAACCGAACAATTCTCATCACTTATTTGCAAATTTTCCAATCGCCATTGTAAATGCTGCTGCTTTGTACAGGTGTTTATTGCACAGTCTCTGGAGGAGGTAGAAACTTGGTCCTTGAGGAACACTTAAGCTGTTATAATGTGATTCAATGATTAATTTTTGGTCATTCAAAAAATGACGAATCTCTTCTGAAACACCACGTATAAAGGGCATTTTACCAGGAAATCATATTCCACTTAAGAATAATCACCAATATACAAAGAATGAACGCGAAATTCAAAGACACTTGTCACTAAAGGAAACGTATGGAATGAAATAAGTTTATCGAAAAACACAAACATAAGGTGGTACAAGGGGATAAAGGATCAGATCGCCTACCTTGACTGAGCAGTCAAGTCTGTTCTCGCTGATAAAGATTGGTAGATTCAGTCAGAACTTTGTCCCAGTGGGGGCTTCTTATTGCGTGCATTTGCAAGTATTTTCTCCTTTCGACATAAAGTGAAACTTAACTAGCCGTACACTTCCATTCTTATGAAGTTTAATGAATGCACTGTTGCAGGTACCGAAGAAAATAGAAAAAATTAATTTAACTAATGTTAGGAAGTTTCGAACATTAGTGACGCATTTTAACATCAGAGACATTTGGTGATTCTAATTTAGATAGGGCCAGTGTTGTTCGAAACTTCGGACATAGATAAACGTTTCTATCAATTTGACTTATGTCAGATATGCAATCGGAAGAGTTCCAATTAACTGAAAAATTCTCTGAAAACTGAATTAGCTAGAAAATCAAGATTACCAACCGAACAGTAAAATGAAACGGAATCATCCAAACCTTACATGAGGTAAACGAGTATAGAATTGCGCATAAAAGAAGATTGCTAAACGTAGTCAACGTCTGACAAATACAACTGGCGATGGCGAACGGGTTAAATAGGTAACTAAAAGACTACGTCAACGCGTCAGCAGCATAATGCAAAATCGTCGTCAAACAAAAGCAGAACGAAGCGTGGCACGTCCGCGATGTCCTTCAACTCAACGAGTAGGTCATCTACGTCAGCGGCGAAACGTTTCTGGTTCTCTTTCTGCGATGACAACTACAAAAAATGAATTTAAGGTCAATATTTCTAATATCTGCTTCTTACCAACTGCTGCAAGTAGTTCCTTGCACAGAGCTTCAATAAATACGCAGACAGAACGTCGCATGCCTGTAACACAAGGTACTTGTAAGTATAAGAATGTAATGACGTAGATCTGCGGTCTAACTTAACAACGCTGGCATAAACAATTCAAGGAATGGCTGAGTATTCTTTATTTATTAATGCTATGCAGATAGATGCCTCTGTTGCTTTGAACGTATACACGCTTTAACACCGTACAACAACAAACAAGGCTATGCAAAATATTTCTAAAAAAGTATAAATCGACAATTTCTAAACTTCGATTCAAGAACTTATCAACTTGATTAAGTACTACTGACTTCCTGCACAATTTGGCTTTTGTTGGCATGATCATAACGCTAAATTACTTAGGTGAACTTAAATAATAGCTAGCTGTTAAATCTGCATGAGCTAATGGGCAGTGTCCTGCAGCAGCATCATTTTAACACCTAGAGTAGTACTCTGATCGTCATTAAATATGACTGAGGAGCTGGCACTCTTCACATGCACTAGCAGCAATATCAAGAATATGGCCTCACACACCGGGATACGTTAACAATCGAAACAATGGTTCATGGTCTGTGAAATGTCTTCTCCCAGAGAAGGAGGGGAAACAACGATAACAATATGAAACTGATTGAAGCAGCTATGCGCTATTTAACATATTCCACTAAGCAGCCCATATTTTTGATATTTCGGTAATGGAGGTAAAATTTTATTCGATCCATATTGAACATAAAACCATTAAATACTATCTTGATTTCTAAAGCAAGCAAATTGAGGAGGTATCGTAACAAACGAGCCGCTGAACAGTTATTTGATCAATAAGCAATTCAGTACACTGAATGATGATTTGAATGCTTTGTTTTCTTACCCTAAGTCCAAAAATTTCATACTCATTAAACCAACAAAAGGACAACCAACTGCTCAAGACAACTTATTGAAAACATGGCTTCTCTGAAGCAGT